TGGAGTATATTCAAACCTCTCTCGCTTGCTCTCTCTCTCTCACTCTCTGCTGCTTCTGCCATCACATCTCTATCTCTGACTCTGATTCTGACCCTCCTGCTTCCCTCTTATAAGGACCTGTGTGTTACATTGGAACTGCCCAGATAATCCAGGATAATCTCCTCATTCCAAGATCCTCAATCACACTTACAAGCTCTACATGCAAAATATATTCACCCCTCTTCAACATTCGAATAGTCTCAACCCTTCATACCGCCATACCAGGAGATTTGGGATGGGCCATGTAATTCCCTGAAAATAGACTTTTCACCCCACTGGTTGTCATCAACTCCTGTTACTGAAAGGAATCTTGCACTGTCCTGTTCTTTCGTTCTTTCCTGGGGCCCTGGTACCTGCAGTCTTAGAATTTGCTGCCAGTTTCGACGGTGAAAAATTGCTTCAAAACAAGAGCCAATCTGTAGCCTCTAGTCACTCAGGAGTCTCACATAGATTTTGTTTTGTTATTCTTTGATGGTCACTAGAATTTAAGTTTCCTTCTCGTTTCTGTAGTCTCTCTAGCATTGATTTCAGAAAGAAGCCAGCAGCCTGTGCTAGTTCACCATCTTGACAGAAACTGGAGGCCACAGGGGAAATGAGCATGAAAATGGTCCTGAAGCTAAGTGAGCAGTAACCACAGGAACAGAAACAGAGTCGAATAAGCAGAAGGAACTTCAGCTTATCCATCCAAAGGCACATCAGTAGGAGGGTGTACAAACACAAAATGAGAAAATACAGTAAACAGAAAGGCTTGAAAATAACAGAGAAGATATCTAGTATAACAGTAATAAAAATACCTCAGTAAATAAAATATTGAGACTCACAGATTGGATTTTTGAAAAAGACCCACAGCATAGTGTCTATAAAAGACTATCAAAACAAAAGATGCCCAAAATGTTTTTTCAAAAAAAGTTGGAAAAATGTTTGGACAAATTTGAACCAAAAAAAAATTAGTCTATCAATCCTAATCTATGGCAAAACGGAACTGAAAGCAAAAAATAAAGTGATAAGAAACGGTGGTAGATAGAAATCTTAAAAAAAAAAAAAAAAAAAAGAACCAAGATATCCCCTCAGGGATACACACTCTGTATAATCTCCTCCCCTTGATTGTGGGTGGGACATAGAAATATAACGGAATGTCATTGCTGGGATTAGGTTAGGTTATAGGGCACAGGTGACACTATTTCGTAGATGTAATTCAAGTCTCCAATCCGTTGCTCTGAGAAAATATAAAGGCATATTTCCCTGCATGGACCTTACCTAACCAGTGAGTCCTTAAAGGAGAATCTAGAGAAGAGTTCTACTTTCAGGATGACAGAGTGGGGAACTCCATGGACCCATTCACCCAAGAAAATGCAGGAAACCCAGACTATGAAAAACAATCTTGAAAAAGAACAAAGTTGGAAGACTCATACTTTCCAGTCTCAAAACTTACTATAAAGCTACAGTCATCAAAATGGTATGGTACCAACATAAGGTTATATAGAGAGATCAATGGAATAGAATTGAGAATCCTAAAGTAAACTCATATGAGCTTGGAAGAGGACCCCAAGCCTCAGACGAGTCCACAGTCTTGACTGACGACTTGATTTCAGCATTATGAGACTCTGATCACAGGACCCAGATGAGTCTGACCCACAGAAACTGAGAAACTCAAATAATAAATAGATGTTTTAATCTTCTAATGTTGTGGATATTTGTTATATAGCATAGAAAACTAATACAGGAACAAAAATAAACAAAGGAAAAAATAGGACAAGAAAATACAGTCATCAAAACATTTATATATCATCATTGCCGTCTAACAAATATCTAGCAAAAAATAAGAGAACTGCAGAAAAAAAAAGATAAGTGACCAACATTTTATTTGATAGTTCTGAAGCCAAAAATGTTTAAGTCCAGAAGACAAAAAATAAGCAGAGAGGAAAAGACTTCAAGAGTACTCTAAAAATGTTTAGTATAAAATGCCACGCCCCACATTAAAAATTATAAAATTAAGGATTTTTGATCCACAGAAGACATAAGAAGTCAATAGATAAATGACAGTGTAGACAAGGACATTGGCCATGTCTGAATTAATACGTAGAACAGAAAATCAGTGTGAAGATAAACCTCATAGCCAATAGAACGTCCTGTGTTTCTCAAAATCTGTTTTGAAGGACCAGCCTTTTTTGGCATTTCCAATCAATTACAGACTGTATTTTTAAAATATAGAAAATATAAAATATATTTTATATTTTAAAATAAATTTTAAAATATAGAACTAATTTGAGGTTATGTATGATTTAGACGGCATTTTAGATTTTTCTAGCAATGCACAGGATGTAAGCCTGGGACATGTCTGTGTAAAATATAGACCATTGCAGAGATAATGGGTATCATCATTTAAAAAGCAGCAGAACTCTTCAAGTGGGGTGCTGCCAGGAGGCTGGAAGAGGAATGGGAGGAGGCCATTCAGGGTCTGTGGAGCTCAGAGAGCAGATGGGGCAAAAGATGAGTATGGCATGGCTGGAGACCAGACAAGGGGTTCTTCATGACAGATAGATTTGTTGCTTTGATCTGCTGATTGCATTCCTGGGCTAACAGGAGAAAGGAAATAAATAATAGCAGATTTGTAGTGGGTGATTTTGTTTTGAAAAAAATAACATTTCGGAAACATCAGAAAAAGGAGATAAGTGGCAGTTGCAAGTGTTCCTAAGCCTTTGATTTGTTCTTTACTGAATGCCTGTGGATCCGTGTGGTTGGAAACTCAAGAGTTAGAAGGGCAGTTGGTGATATGGGTAGTGGACTCGTTTGGCCCTGAGTTCAATTTCAGAAAATCCCAGTAATTAACCACAAGAGTAGCTCAGTGCCCTAATATGAAGATGGGGAGGGGGCTGTGGTGAGGGTTAAAGGAGATGATTTCAGTGACACATATTTTACAGTGTCAGGTGTGTAGGGACATAGCTCTCCTGTCTTTCTCTTCAGACTCCCTCACTCCAATGCTGAGGTTTCAATTAAGTCCTAATTTTAGGAGGGGTCTCAGCAAACGCATTCCAAAGAGCCCTGCTGCTTCAAAACATGCCACCCGATAAGATGTAGAAAACATTCGGGGTTTGACAGAGATCTAGAATTTAGAAATATATGTCAATTTTGTGTACTATAACTTTCAAATAAATTTTTACTTCCTACTTATTCAGGCCACTTAATGACTGAGCCAAATCCAGAGAGATTTCTCCAGGACACAAGACAGACTCGTGGATTCTTCTGGCTGATCTTGGATATTGACACATTATTCAAAACTCTGCTAATTTGAGGTCATGATATAACTAACAAGAGTGGCAGGCACAAAATTTATTAACCCTATCAAAGCTGCTTATGTAGCTCATGACTACTGGACACCATCAACTCAGTGAAATCTGCAATGGGGCCATGTTTTTAATTTCTGTGAGAGCTGGAACTAAGGAATACAGGCCATGGACAAAATACTAAACTGCAGTAAACACGATTTCTAAAATGTTGGAGTACCTGAAAGAACCACTTCACAGCCATGGCCCCAAGCACTGAACACCTGAGGACTTCATGTATTTCCGATTTAGGCCCAAATTTTCTGTTGCTCTACAAATAGTGGTGATGCTTGATCCCTAAGATAAATATAAAATGAAACCAGTGGGATTTTGTGTGGCTCAAGGTAGAAAACAACTGGCATATTGTGAAAAAGAGCAGGATGCCAGGCCTTCCTTGTGAACTTGGAATTGAAGGTAAAGGTGCATCCATCAGTGAGCAATGCTGACCAGAGCTCAGGGAGGGTGTGGTTGTGCTTGTCCGGAACAGTAGGCCTGGGGTCCATAAACAAGGGCTCTACCCCTCCCCACCTAAGTGCTCTCAAATCCAAGGGCCAGCAACAGATTGGTTTTGCTAACCATGCAGACACACCTTTGGTAATATCCTATCAAATTTTGGAAGCATGTTGCACACAAATCCTGCACAGAAATTGGCTAAAGGACCAAAGCTGCCCCATCTTTTTGCCATGACAGATGGAGCTACCCAGAGCTGTTTCTGAAAATTCTGTCCCATAAGCCCTTATGGCAAATTCATGCAAATGAGCCAGCCAGGAAACAGGCAGACTTCTTACCAAGAAATATTCATTCAAATCACCCCCCAAACCAAGGATGGAGGAGTAAAGACTCCCTAGCCCTTCTGTTCGGAAAGACTCCTCCAGAAACTGTTGCACTGTCTCTTTGTCCAACGCATGTCCGCCCACCACACGATCCCCTCATCTCTCTGCCCCTCCAAGGTTGATCCCCAACCAAGACCCCAGCAGAGAGGCGTGCTCATCAGGATGGGTGTCTGTCACCACAGTGCTTCTCCCAGGGGCAGTGAGGGATGCTGACAGCTATGAAGCCCTGGCTGGGTCCTAGATGGGTAACACAGGTATCAGGATCAGGTGGGGGCATGCAGACTGGAGCTGCCATCTTCTGAGCCCTGGAGAAGACATCGTTGTGATTCATGCAGCCCTCAGTGTCTGCAGAGGGCAGAGCCTCCTGTCAGCTTCAGTGACCTCCTCTGATCCCTGGGTCTGGACCTGACCCCTCTGCTGAAGAGCCACACACTGTGAGCCTGTCCCTGAGATGGAAACAGAGGGGACACATGTGGCTAACAAAATGTTCTGCATTCTTTTGAGTAGATAGATGAGAGCATAGAGAAACTGGAGAAGGAAGAAAGGAAGGAAGGAAGGAAGGAAGAGAGGGAGGGAGGGAGGGAATAGAAGAATTAATGGATGGACGAATGAGCACACAAACCAACTGGTGGGAATCTTACAGTAACTGCCTCAAATCAACCAGGGAGTTTGATTTATTTAACACTCTACACCTGCAACCAAAGTAATAATGATGATAATAAACTCGCCATTGCTTATCAATGGCTTATAAACAATATAGGAGAGAGAAAACTGCTCAGGGACTCAGAAAGTGCTTTGAAATGCCTTTAATTCTGCCAGGCTGCACAGATCTAGGACTACAGACTGTCACACTCTGGAGGAAGAGGGGACTTCTGCTGCAAAAAACCATGGGCTCTGTCACCACCTTCTCTCCACACAGGTGCTGTTCAGGAGGGTGAACTGGGAAAACCAAGATCGAACATCTACTATAAAAGTGCAGCGCACCTGAAAAAAAAATTGTAAGACTCAAATTAGAAAATGTAAGTATTGAGAGCATCTAGCATGCAATAGGGTGTTAAGATGTATTAAACAATACAAAAATAAATCAATAAAAAGCAAAAACAGTCACCCAGGAACAGGGCTTGAAATGCCTAAGGCTCCACCAGGACAACGGGCACAGGTGGTTTAATCCTCCCACCTGAGCCTGAGGATTTCCGAAGGGATGCCTGGTTGAGTCATCATCTGACCCCTGAAACATCCTGTCCACTCACAGCCTCCAAAGAGCATATGAGGGTGGATAAGCTGCCCCCACCCTGTGTGTTCTGGGGGAAACCATGGGCTTACTAAAGGGATGGCCCTGCCAGTCACCCACCAACTGAACGGCAGCTGCAAACCTACCCCAAAGGGAGGCTGCCCATGAGGCTGGGGGTTGGAGGGTGAGATCAGCCCCACTGATCCTGTAACTCTGATTCAGGGCATCCTCAAGCTCCAGGATCCCATCGATCTTGTGTGGGTCATGGAAGGATGGTGTCAGAACTCAGACTGACCAGGACACATCCTTACCACACAGGAACTAGAGGGACAGGTTGGGTGACGAGAGAAACTAGACAGTCCTCCAGTCCCCAAGAACATGAGCAAAAGAAGAGTGAGGGCCACAGGGAGAACACTGTCCGCCTGGATCTTGAGGGTCTCAGGAAGGTACAGGGCTGGGACCCAAAGTGAGGGCTCCATCCAGAGACGTAGGCCTTGCGGAATCTGCAGGTACCTGTGTCCAGCCAGCTGGGCTGTGGGCTGAGGGCTCTCCCTGACATTGAGGGTCAAACTCTGTCTGTCAAATAAATGCCTGCCTTCTGCCTTCACTAAGGGAGCCCTGACACCAGGTGGGAGAGGGCCAGGGACCCTCATTCTGCCCTAGGATCACCCCAGATGCCTTTCCTAAGCCTTCCCCCAAAGGCCTGCCTTGACATTATTTTTTATTCCTGAGAGATTCATGATTTGGGTTCATTTTATTCTCAAACCATTTTCTCTTCTGTGCCTTCTTGCAATGGGCAATTGTCAATGTCTTCATCATGTTTCTTACAAACTGTACGCCCCATCTCCAAGTCCATTAAATATATCAACGTCCATCTCTGTCAAGAAGAAATTGGAATGAGAAAAACAAAGAGAATCAAATAGAAAAGTTGCCAGAAGAGGTGAATGTTAATATTCATGCAAATAAAGATATACATATCCTGTGCAATCTTTCTTCTCTTATTTTTTATTTCAAGTTTCTTGTTTCAAATTTTTCTCTTAATTCTCCATTTTTTTTTTTTTTACAAAAACAGATATTCATTCACTATACCTAAAGCATGCACTAGAGTCTATCCTGTAGAACTCTTCTTGATGTCTAATACCTAGCAGTCATATTGACAGGACAATGAATACACAGGGTGTGGACCATCGCATGATTGAATCCTACACAGCAGTACAGGCAGTGTAAACAGAATGGCACTATCCCTTGGGAGATAGATCTAGATGGTAACCTGGGGTGGGAAGTCCTGGGGGCTGCAGTGTTGTGTCCTTTATGTGAGTGAAGACCGCACAAAAGTACTTGAGAATATTAATTGAAATAAATATTAAGGTTGTTTTTCAGTATGTTTATTAGGGTGCTATAAAAAGTTATTAAAAGTTATAGTCATTTCTGTAAATAGAGGTTCATAAAACTCAGGAAGCACCCAGAGAGAGAGAAATCAAATCCAACCAGGAAATCTTCCCAGGCTGGAGCTCACATCTCTCCTGAAAGTTGTCTAAAAAGCAGACATCCCTTGGGGATAGCAATCCATGCAGGTGACAATGATATCCACTCATGCCCCTACAGACTCACACACTCATGCTCCAACACATCAACACACTCACACACACTCATGCCCCAACACACATGACCTGCACACTCACACACTCATGCTCCAACACATCAACACACACACACTCATGCCCTAACATACACCAACTCACTCCCAGTCATGCCCCAACACACACTCATGCCCCAACGCACACCAACACACACACTCATGCCCCAAAACCCAACACACACACATTCATGCCTCAACACACACCAACACAGATACCCACGCTCTGACACTAACACGCTCACATGCTCATGCCCAACAAACACCAACTGCACAGTCACACACACACACTCATGTCCCAATATACCAACACAAACACACTCTCATGCCCCAACACACCAACTACTCACTCACATCTATGCCCTGACACACACCAACACACACACTCATGCCCAACACAAGCCAACACACGCTTGCACCCATGCCCTGTTTGCGGGGGCTACCCTCATTAAGGAAGTAAAATAGAAAGCTGGAGCTCTCCTAATGATACCTTGTATTTAAATTATATGCATATTTTCTGAATTTGGAATGCCATTGCTCTTTCCTGCAGACCAAGGATCCACCCAGCCCTGGCCTGGCGCCGGGGAATTCACGGTTCATGGGGAGAGACAGCAGCTGCTCACCTTGTGCTGGCTCCGGCGTACCTGCAGAAACTTGTAGGCAAACTCGTCTTCCTGGTCCTCATTGAACTGAAACACAGCATACTCCACAGCACTGGCGAAATCCTTCGAGTTCTTATCAATGTCTACAAATTTGCAGCTGTAGACATGGGTTCTCAGCACGATGAGCCCCACAAGCAGGGGCACCTTCCACTGCATAGCTGTCTCCAGAGTTGGCACTGGAGGAGGAGGTGGCCACCACCGCTGGTGACACCTTTCCCAGCTCTGACCCCACGTAGCACTGCCTAACAGAGGCGCTGAGCTGCTGAGCCTCCCTTTGACTAGTACTTCTGTCCAGTGCCTCTTTCCACTCCCCCACAGCATTCTTCCCACTATCTCCAAACTGAAGGCCAGCAGAAGGTCACATAGCCTTGGACCCACAGGCATGTATGCTACACACAAGCCTGCACATTTTCAGGGCTGCCTCTTCTGGCCCTGGTCCAGCCCTGATAAGACTGGGGAGGAGCTCTCAAGCCCACCTGCCTTGCCTTCACGGGGCTGCATCCCAGGACTGGCAGAGTGATGGGAACGCTTAGGAATAATAGTGGGCACTGAGTCCTGAGCAGTTAAGGGAAGAACCATGTCTGCCTGTGACCCTGGCTGCAGTCCATGACCTCAGGGAGCCTCGGGAGGGTACAGGGGGGAGGGGCCAGCTTTGGGGGCCGGGATCATCCTCTCCACCCTCTCTGGCACCTGCTAGCCAACTTGCCACGTCCCCCTCCTGCTCTGTGGCCTTGCAGTACCTGCTTTCAGCACAGGGGCCAGAAAGAAGCCAAATACAAGGCTAGAGCCCTGCTAGGATGGGTGTGGAAGGCAACCACAAACATGAGAAGGGACCAGGGGCTGGGAGAAGCCGTGGGAGCACTGGCCAATGTGTGTTCTCACCCAGCGCTGCCTCTTTGTAGTCCCCTGGGCCCGCACCAAGCCACCGTGTCAGACTATCCTGAGGGGAACTGATCCGAGCTCTATTTGACTCCTGGGGAAGCCTCTGGGAGGTAAACAGGGCCAGGGGATGAGCAGGTTGGGAGGGTATGGCGGTGCCTGCACCACGTATTAATGCACCAACATGCACAAGGGGGCCCATGCTGGAGCAACTGACCCTACCTTGGCTATGTGGTATGTAGATCGATGATCTCAAAAAATGTCTCAGAACTTGGGCCACTGCCTTGGGGACTGGTAGTAAGGGCAGGACTGGGGGTGGACACAGGAAGAGACGGGACTGTGGCCAGAATGATGAACACAATTATGACCACCTTCTTGCAGCTTCTCAATGGGAGGAGACACAGAGACTCAGGTGCACTTCCACACAGGACTGACCTGAAAGTGGCCAACCGTGGGGGCCTGAGGAGCACAGTGGCCCTGTCAGGTTGATCATGCTCAAAGTGTGCCTGAACCCCCATGTGTCCTCCTGCCAGAGAAGCTGCAGCTCCCAGTTCTTGCTCATCTTTGCCATTCCTGCCAGCAGGCTGATTAAAATGTCTCACTGTTGTCTTCTGAGGTTGGCAGGATCTGTCCTGAGGCCCCTCCTCACTGCTGGTTTGGGTTGTGATCGCTTTCTCCAATTCCAGCTCTCCCTTACCCAGGGTTAGATATTTTATTAGACCTTCAAAAAATTAACTGTTGGATTTCTTGATCCTTTCTGTCAGTCTTTGCTTTCTCTTTCACTCACCTATGCCTTTTTGCTATGATTTTCTTCTTTCTTTTTCACCAGTTCAGTTTACCCTTCTTTGATTCTTGACATTGAAAGGGAGGTCATCAGTTGCATCTTGTTCATTCTGTAGCATGTGCATTTTCAGATCTGGAGGTGACCCTCAAAGCATGGTATCGGCAGCATCCGATATGTTCTAGCATGTGCATTTCCAGATCTGGAGGCAACCCTCAGAGCATGGCATCAGCAGCATCCCATAAGTTTGCTACTCAGGTTTCAATTCCAGTGTTTTAAAAGTGCAGCCTAATCTGCACTGGGATTACTTCTTTAGTCCATGTGTTCTTTACAGGCGTGTAGCTGAATTTTCAAATATTTCTGTCCTTAATTTCTACCTAAATTTCACAGAGAACATATTCTATGTGATTGAAATTCATTAAGAATATGTTCAATTGTGATAAATATTCTATCAGGTGAAAAAAATGAATGTTCTCCAGTTGTTGAGTGATATTCTGTATAACAAAGATCAAATATGTTTAGTGAGCTCTTAAATTTCTTGAGCCTCTTCTGAGTTTTACTTGGTGGGTTCTGCAGTTCTTAAGAGAGGTGCCTGAAACGTTCCCATGAGGATGATGGGGCTGCTGGTTTTTCTTCTAGCCCTGCAATGTGTCTTTATTATATACTTTTAGGCTGTGTAAGAGTGGGCACCACAGATAGAACTGTTGTAAATTCAATAATTGAGCAAAACTGTGCCCTTTAGTTCCCAAAAGGCCATGTTTCTAATTTCATAAAATCGGAAGAGAGAGAGGCCACAGTCAGAATTGGTCATGCCTATTTTCACCATGGTGCCTAACTAGAGGCTCATGAGAATCATCAGAGGAAACTTCCAAATAACCCAGCATCTAAGCCTAAATGTTAAAGAGTGTGGCATGAACACTGAATGCCGCCTGGTGCACTTAAGTGCATCTGACCTCAAATCATAACTTTAAATTGAAAAAGAACGGGACACCAGGCCTTCCTTGTGAACTGGGAATTGAAGGTAAAGGTGCTTCCATCAGTGAGCAATGCTGACCAGAACCCACTGTGCTTGTCTAGAACAGTGGGCATGAGGTCTATCAACAAGTGCTCCACCCCTTGCAGCCTGAGTGCTCTCAAAACCAAGGGTCAGCAATAGATTGGTTTCGTTGACCACACAGACACACTCTTGGTGATATAAATATGTCCTGTCAAATTGTGAGGGGATGTTACAAATCCTGCACACAGGTGGATCAAAGGACCAAAGCTGCCTCATCTTTTTACCGTGACAGATGGAGCTTCCCAGAGCTGTTTCTGAAAATTCTGTCCCATCAACCCTTATGGCAAATTCATGGGAATGAGCCAGACAGGAAAAACGCAGACTTCCTACCAAGAAATATTCAAATCAAAGTCCCCAAAACCTAGGATAGAGGAGCACTTCAGGTCTGAAAGACTCCTCCAGAGGGCTTTGCATTGCCTTTCTGGCCCATCCATGTACCCCTCCCCCCAGACCCTCATCTCTCTGCCCTTCCAAGGCTGCTCCCCTACCAAGACCCCAGCAGAGAAGCTTGCTCATCAGGATGGGTGTCTGTCACCACGGTGCCTCTCCCAGAGACAGTGAGTGGTGCCGACAGACATGAAGGCCGGGCTGAGTCCCAGCTGGGGAACCTATGCACCAGATGGGGCATGGGGGACATGGGGACTGGAGCTGTCATCCTCTGAGCTGCCATCTGAACCCTAAAGAAGACATCCCTCAGTGTCCACAGAGGGCAGAGCCTCATGTCAGCTTCAGTGACCATCTCTGACCCGTGGGCCTGGGCTTGGCCCCTCTGCAGAAGAGCCACCCTCTGTGAGCCTGTTCCTGAGATGGAAACAGAAGGGTCATGTGTGGTTAACAAAATTGTCTGCATTCCTTTTGAGTAGATGGATGATGGCATAGAGAAATGGAAGAAAGAATGAATGAATGAGTGCATGAATAAATGAAGGAACAGATGGATGGATGGATGGATGGATGGATGGATGGATGGATGGATGGATACACCAACCAACTGGCAGAGGGATCCTACATGAACTGCCTCAAGTCAACTGGGGAGTTTTGTTTATTCAACACTCTGCACCTGCAGCCAAGGTAACAATGATAATGAATTCTCCCTTGCTTATCACTGCCAGCAACATTCGTGGCAAATAAATAATAGGAAAGAGTGCAAAACTGTTCACAGACCCAGAAGTAGTTAAGATGCCTTTAATTCTGCTAGTGCAGCATAGGCCTAGAACTACAAACTTTCATACTGTAGAGGAAGAGATGACTTCTGCTGCGAAAAATCAGGGGCTCTGCCACTACCTGTTTCCACATTACAGGTGATGTTTAGGAGGTTGAACTGGGAAAACCAAGGTCAGGCATCCATGACAAATGTGCAGTGCACCTGAAAACAAAATAAGTATAACATAGAAATCAGAAAAATGTAATGCATTGAGAGCATTTAGCATGTAGTAGGGGGTCAAGATGTATTTAAAAACTACAAAAAATGAAAAACAAAAACAGTCACCCAGGAACGGGGCTTGAAATGCCCAAGCCTCCACCAGGACAAGGGGCGCAGGTGGCTGAATGCTTCCACCTGAGCCTGGCGATTCCTGAAAGCATGCCTGGTTGGGCCATCACCTGACCCCTGAAGCATCCTGTCCACTCACAATCTCCCTAGCACACATGATGCTGGATGAACAGCTCTCACCTTGTGTGTTCTGGGGGAGAGAACGGACTTCCCAAGGGATGATCCCTCTGGGTGCCCACCAACTGAGCACAGCAGTTGACAGCAAGGCTACAGATGGAAGGGCGAGACCAGCCCTGCTGCTCCTGTAACTGATTCAGGGCATCCTCAAGTTCTGAGCTCATATGGGTCATGGGAGGATGGTGACAGAACTCACATGGGAGGATGGTGACAGAACTCAGACTGACTAGGACACATCCTTACAACACAGGAACTAGAGGGACAGGTTGAGCGACCAGAGAAACTAGACAGTCCTCCAATTCCCAAGAACAAAAGAAGAGTGAGGACCACAGGGAGAACATCATCTGCCTGGATCTCGAGGGTCTCAGGAAGGTACAGGGCTGGGAAGCAAAGCGAGAGCTTCATTCAGGGACAGAGGCCATGTAGAATCTGCAGGTGCCTGCTATGTCCAGCCAGCCGTGCTGTAGGCAGAGGGCTCTTCCTGGCACTGAGGCCAGGCTCTGTCTGCTTACATGCCAGCCTTCTGCCTTCACTGAGGGAGCCCTGACACCAGGTGGGAGAGGGCCAGGGACCCTCATTCTGCCCCAGGATCACCTCTGATGGCCTTTCTAAGCCTCCTCGCAAAGGTCTACCTTGATATTATTATCCATTCCTGAGAGATTCATGATGCTTTGGGGTTGATTTTATTCTCAGACCTTTTTCTCTCCTGAGCCTTCTTGCAATGGTCAATGTCAATGTCTTCATCGTAGTTTTTACAAATTGTGAGGCCCATCTCCAAGTCTGTTAAAAATATCATTATCCACGTTTGTCAAGAAGAAATTACACAAACAGTTGCTAAGTATTTTCTTTTCATGAATTTTTTAAAAAGACAGAGAAACAAGTAGGAAAGT